CTACGCCGATGGTTGACACGCTGTTGGCACTACGCTGTACAACGCTACGCTGTTGACAGTACGCTGTTGAGGTTACGCTGTTGGTCGAGAATGCATCGTTGTGTTCTGCAGCGCTGTTGGTTCATGCTGTTGGCACTACGCTGTTGACACTACGCTGCTGGCACTATTCTGGTGTCACCACGCTGTTGTCACAACGATGTTGACACTACGCTGTTGGCTCTACGCTGTTGGTCGACGGTACGTTCAGAGTTCACGCCATGCAGTTGGTTCGTGCAGCCAACCGTATGCGGTCGACGGTACGATATGGGTTGAGAGTACGCTGTTGGCACTACGCTGTTGGCACGACCCTGTTGACATTATGTTGTTGCTACGCCGTTGGTTGACACTACGCTGTTGGCACTCCGCTGTTGACACTACGCTGTTGCTACGCCGTGAGTTGACGCTACGGTTTTGACACTACGCTGTTGACACTACGCTATTGCTACGCCGTTGATTGACACTGCGCTGTTGACACTGCGTTGTCGACACTACGCTGTTGACGCTACGCGGTTGACGCTACGGTGTTGACACTACGCTGTTGACACTCCGCTATCGACACTACGCTGTTGACTTAATTCCCCGTTGGGACGTACTCTCTATGAGGCCACACAACGTGTGAGGGGTGTGCCAAAATGGGTGCGGTGGGCGCATGCGAGCGCTGGCATGTAGGCCTTCGGAGGGGCCCCCTATGGGGCCACGAAGCGTGTGAGGGGTGTCCCAAAATGGGTGCGGTGGGCGCATGCGAACGCTGGCATTTGGGCCTTCGGCGGGGCTCCCCATAGGGTCTCGAAGCCTGCGAGGGGTCTCCCACAATGGGTGCGGTGGGCGCATGCGAGCGCTGGCATCTGGGCCTTCGGTGGAGCTCCCCCTGGGGCCACAAAACGCGTGAACGCGTCTGCCAAATGGATGCGGTGTGCGAATGCGAGCGCTGGCATATGGGCATGTGGTGGAGCTCCCTATCGGGCCAGAACACGTGTGAGGGGTGTGCTAACATGGGCACGGTGGGCGCATGCGAGCGCTGCCACCTGGGTGTTTGGTGGGGCTCCCTATGGGACCACGAAACGTGTGAGGGGGGTGCCAAAGTGGGGGAGGAGAGGAGGAGGGGGGATGATGGGAGGAGGGGGCAGCGGGAGGAAGGAGTGAGACGCAGGGCGCTGTCTCTTCAAAGCGAGGACCTAACACCACAGGATGGTTTGAAAAACATGGTTTCGCAACACGAATTTTCAACAGAAAACATGCGCTCGCGCTCTTGCGAATCGTTAGGACAACCATCGGCTTTCAACATTGCCATACACTGTTTTCAAATTGGACTCGCGTGCGCGTGCCGAGCTCGTTCGGGCGCCCTTGCGCTCGTGTTGGCGCGATAATAGGGTACAACATATGGGACGAAGTGCACGCGCGCGCGCGCGCGACGTCGCGCGCCCATGCCGACATCATTGAACGTATTCCTGTGTCGTAGCGATTTCAAAATCGAGTGCCCCGAAGCAGTACAAACACGTGGTGTTGTAACATCATTTTAAAACCAATCCTGAGTTCGCGCACCTGGGGAGTTTTAACAAAACAGTCGGTATCCCAACATGCTCATCAAATTCTGCCAAGCGGGCCTTTCGCGACGCATGTCGAGCTCATTCGAACGCCCTTGCTCTCGTGCTGGGGAGGGCACGATCCGTGTCAAAGAATACCACGCGGGCCAGTCGCGCGCGTCGGCCGCGCGCGGATGGCGAATTTCAAAAGCCTTCATCGCCGACGCGAGGACATCGTCATCGCTATCGACAGGCAGGATAAGCATCGGCGCTGTCATTGGCGTTGCCGTCGCCATCGCCACCATCGCCATCATCATCTCTAATCCTATAATCGTGCTTACTGTTGGTACCGCGCCCGCCCAAGCCGCTGACTCGCACTGAAATGCCCGCTGGGAAGTGCCCATATGTGAAGGACTCCCGCTCGCGACTTCGTCGCGATTCACTCACCGACGACACCCCTCGCTCGAGACGTCCTCCACTGTCAGGCCTGAGGAGCCCAAACATTCGACATTTTCAGGGTTTTGACGACACCGATCGGATGATTGATGATGGTTAGTGACTCTGATGATGATGATGATGATGATGATGATGATGATGATGATGATGATGATGATGATGATGATGATGACGATGACGATGACGATGATGATGATGATGATGATGATGATGATGATGATGATGATGATGATGATGATGACGATGCGTATGACGATGATGATGACGACGATGGTGATAATGATGATGATGCTGATGACGATGGTGATGATGATGATGATGATGAGGAGGAGGAGGAGGAGGAGGATATGTGTGTGTTCCTCTATTCTTTCGCGGGGTGTCCAGGGAACGTAGGATTACCATTTAGATCGTGGCGCCAACAGCGTCCGAGCTCCAGGTGGGGAACTCCATTTGATAAAATACAATTTGCACCGGAGGTGGGATCAACGAGGGAGTTACAACACATCAACCATCATTTTAACATTGTTCGCTCTTATCGCCTCGCGCCTGGAACCCTCGATGCCCGCCCTCTTCGTTGTCGATCGTGCCACCCTTGGGGGGGGGCTATATCTTCTTCGGTGCGACGTGTTTAGTCGGACATGGACGGCGGAGACAAAAGAAAAGGGAGCAGCGTGGAGCAGCGTGGAGGTAGGAGGGAAGGGGCAATGGGGGAGGGAGAAGGATGGAGCACGAGAGATCTTAGCGAGAGGGGGGTTATGGGTTAGTCGGCCATGTCCCTCTACAGGGGGAATCTCCAAACATGGTCAACAAATAGTCTGGGGGCGTGCTTCCTTTTGTTGTTGGGCTAATTCTTGTTTTTTGGCTCGACTAGGTTCCTGTTCTTCTCGCAACATCCGCCTGTGGGAGGACATGCCCGAACTAAGAGTAGCGAGAGGGGGGTCAGGAGCAAGAAAGCAAGCGGCAGAACCAAACACGCGGATCGGGCGGACGGACCCTGTCAGGCGGGTCGGGCGTGCGGGCCCAGCTGGCCGGGTCGAGAAGGCGGGTCGCCGAGGCATCGGTCACGACTGGGCCGCAAGGAAGTGTCGAGGAGCAGCGCAATTCCCAGGTACGTCGTCAGGAGGAGGAGGAGGAGGAGGAGGAGGAGGAGGAGGAGGAGGAGGAGGAGGAGGAGGAGGGGGAGGGAGAGGGGGAGGGGGAAGGGAAGGGGGAGGATGAGGAGCAGGAGGAGGAGGAGGAGGAGGAGGAGGAGGAGGAGGAAAACGATGGGGGAGGGAACAGGTTTCGGGATGCATTCGGAGGCTTTCGGGGGTCGTCGGGGGTATCAGCCTCTGCCAAGTTTTCCCACATTTTGGAAGTCCAGAGCGAGAGCGTGGTTCCCGAGTGCTGAGGGCGCGGCGTTTCAACACACTGTAGGGAAGTCCTGCGCGAGAGATCCCTGGATGCATTGTGGGGAAGTCACGCGCGAGAGCGCGATTCGGGTGGGTCAACTGGAGTGGCACCAGGCGGGAGCTGCTGTTGTTGTGAATCGGGGGCTAGGGGGACAGTCTGGGGCGCAAGACCTTCCCTTGTGATAGAAGCGAGTGCGAGCCCCAGGATGGGCACTTCACTTGAGAAAATACCATGGGCATCGGAGGGGGGTCAACAGCAATCATCCTGTCGAGATGAGATTTCAATTATGTTTAAACTGTTCGCTCGTGTTTGCTGGTGTGTCAATCAGCATGTCCTGGATACCCGTCCTCTTCGTCTTCGATCCCCCCCTGCGAGTATATCTTCCTTACCTGCCACGTGAATGTTGTGCAGCTCCTGAAGCAGGACGAGGAGTGAGACGCAAAAACGAAAAACAACAAACAAAACAAAAGAGAGAGCGAGGCGGAAGGGAGTGCGGCAGGGAGGGGAGGAGCGAAAGGGCAAGGGGCAGGGAGAAGGATGGATCACGAGAGAGATTCGCAGGAGAGGATTTCTGGCGCAGGGAAAAGAAGCATCGGCTACACGCAAGAGTGACTTCTTGCCAGAGGGACCTCTGGTGCGGGCCCACTGGGGCCCCCGATCGCCGGACGCGCTTTGGTTGCAGTGTCCTGCGCGCTCGTGTTTAGTCCCCCCCCGTGGCCCCCCAAAGGGCCGCGCACCAGAGGCCACTCCTACCATGGGTCGCTCTGTGCGATTCCCAAGTAAATCGAGAAGTCTGTAACGATAGTGCGACAGTGGGAAGTCTCTAGCGACCGCACGCATCGCGAGGAAGTCTCCAGCGACAGTGCGATTCCCAAATACATCGAGAAGAAGGCCAGAGCGAGAGCGCGATTCCTGAGCGTCAAGGGCGGGAATCCCAGGTGAGAGCGCGACTCGTCGGTACACTGAAGGGAAGTCCCGAGCGGGAGCGCGATTCTTCAATAATTTGTGAGGAAGTGTCAGGCGGGAGCCGTTGTTGTTGCTGTAGTTTGGGCCAACAGCGCGATTTAAATGCCCAAGGTTTGCCCAGGTATAGAACAAGTTGCGAGCCCTAAGAGGGACAGCCCAATTGAAATAGCACATCTGTTCAACAATGATCTTATGAGTAAGATTTCAACAAACAACGAACAACGCACAAGCAGAATCCGGGTGACAGAGTTCCATGTCACCCTCGCACCCAGGGATTGTGTAAGACTGTTCGACCCCCTCGCTCTGAGATTTAGATGGAGCTCCTGGTTTGGAGGCAGTTCCTGGCAGGTTGAATTTAGGTTCGGTGCTGGCATAGCCGTGGTCTGAAACAGGCCATCTCCGGCATGCCCACACCTAGTCAGATTTAGTTCCGCCTGGTTGTGTTCAATTTTTGGCTTGATCCGGCTCAATTTTGCCCACACGCCGTTCAGGTTGGCTCAGTAGCTCCTGATCGTTCCCACGAAGACCTCCAGAATTTTTGTCCTAACGTATACATCCTGCCAGGGCCCAGGACGGCCCTGGCGTCGCGCATGGCGGTGGTGTATGGATGCCCCTCGGCACGAGGACGGATGGGCAGCTCCGCGCTGGAGACGCTGGGCGACCAGAGGGCGATGGCGATCGCCGACAGCGACGAGTGGGCAACCCTGCTGCTCGGTGCGCTGTTCGTCCCGGCGGACGAGCTCCGCGCCATCCTGGGGGACGCTAGGCCTCCTCCTCCTCCTCCTCCTCCTCCTCGCCTCCCAGATGGGGTCGGGTGAGACGGGGTTGGAGGACCGCGCTGCATCGCTGATGCATCGGCGGTGAGGCCCGATGTGGAACACGATTTTCTCGACGCCGACGGCGCCGATGCATCGCCGACGTCGCTGATGGCATCGCCGATGCATTGGCGATGCATCTCCGATGCATCGGCAATGCGGTGCTACCCTCCGACCCACCCCATCTAGGAGGCCCCTAGGGACACGGACCATGAGACCATGCAGCTCCGCAAGGACGTCTTGATGTCCGTCCTGCCACAGCAGCCGGCGGTGGCGTGCCGCCCTGGAGGGAACGGCAGCCGGGCCTTTCAGCCCAGGTCCCGCCACGCTGCGAGCCCAGAGCGCGCGCGGCCGCGCACGAACACCTAGTCGATACTCTCGACGCTTGAGCTCGATGCAGCAATCGGGGCTGGTGTTCGGAGCTTTGCGAACAGGCAAACAGGGACGCTGTTCATGATTTGAGGGTCGTCTGAGGTGCCCGTAGGGTTCTCTGCGAGTTTGGCACTTTGGACATTGGCAGCATATTATTGAAACCATTTTACGCCTTAGGCAACTTTGGATTCCCACGTCCACACCCCTGCACCCTTGCTCACTTTTTAGAGTAGCAAAGCTGGTCCTGCCCTTTCGCTCGTGGCGCCCGCATATTTATTGCCCCTCCTGCACAAGCCAGAACTTTTAGCATCTGCGCCTAAGCGCTGCGCGACCGAAAATTTCCAGATGCCAGCCATTAAAAGCTGATGCATTGTGACAAGCCTCCGTAGGGCCTGCGCGCTCACCTCCAGTAGTTTCCGAGTTCTGTTTTCTCTCACGCGCGTGGGCCTTAGTTCTTTCCGAGCGCTTGCTCTGGAGAAAGGCTATGTTCACCTTTCGTAGAGATAATGGGCCAACAGGGTGCGGAACGGAGGAGAGAAGAGGAGGCAAAGGTGAGCAGGACATCACAGGTCGATTGGTCGGACAAGCCGCGTGTCTTTTGTGAACTGACGCTGCGGCGTAATCACACCAGGTAGAGCGGGTCGGTACACACCCGCCCGTGAGGAACACTCTTCTTGTTTATTGCTCGCGGCAGGAAGCCTGCTGCGCTGATACGCGCACTCGCTCCATATACACAGAACGGAGCGGCCTGCGGCCACTCTCGCGATCGTGCCTGCCATCTTGCGAGTAGCATTTTTGGAATCTCTGGGAGCAGTCTTGGGGGCATTCGTGGGGGATCTCCAGAGAGCCAGCCCTACGGGTGGTCTCCAGGCCGTCTCGGGCGGACAAGTCGTGGGCACTTGGCCCCACGCACCCTCTCGGCGCCCTAGTGTCGAAGACACTTCAAGTGAATCCACTAATTCTTGGCGCTTCGCGCTTCCCGACCCATGCCCCTTCCACTCGCCCGTCCGCCGCTGAGGGGCTGCGTGAGGCTCCGCCTAGCCGCTTTAGGTGAGGCTGCGCCCCGCTGCTTTAGGTGAATTTGTCGCTGCGTGCCCCGCTTTGACTGGACTCGCCGCTGGCGCGCTCGCCTGCGGCCGCTGAAAAAAAAGCTTCCCGACCCATCGCGCCTCCCCTCCCCCCTCCAGACCCAGGGGGGAGGCTTCGGGCAAAGGCAAGCCTTTCTCCAAATGCGAAAAGCCCAGACACCTGGCGTTTTGTTTTTCAATACGGGGCCGCCAGAAGTCCGAACTTCGAACCCTTTTGCCACGGGCAGGGTTTCGTTCCCAGGGCTTGGGCGGATCCCGGGCCCAGATCCCACCAGCCGTTTTGGGCGCAGGTGGCTTAGGGAGTCGGCCCTTCCAGCCTCACCACGTGTTTGGCCGTTTCGGCCTCCAAGGGCCACCGCCAGGCCCCGAGACCGTCAAGACAGTTCGGACGAGACGCCGGTTTCGGGGAATGGGTCGGAATTCGCGGGGCCCCGCATGGAAACGTTCAAGGGATCGCAGGTCTCGATAATTAGGGGGACGGGGGGGACGTCATGGCCAGGATCATGGACTGGCCCGATACTCTACTTTCAAGGCGTTCCAAGGCCCCCCACCACGACGGGGCTCATGCCTTCGGCCGCGATTGGCGACCACCCCCTTTTTTCCCCTTCCTTGGACGCTCCTGGAATTGTACGAGCCTTGGTTCACTTCAGCGAATGCTCACGGCATGGTGTCGGATCGCACTTGTTAGGGGGGAGCAGAGGCCGTGGGTCGGGGCCCACCAGGCATGCACATGCACCGCACTGGGGGATTGAGCAAAGACGAGGCACACGGCGGTCTCTTGGTGAAGTGCGCCAGGAACCAGCCCAGGACGCTTTCGCAAGGTTCGCTTGCGCTCGCGTGCACGCGAACCCGTGTGTTGCTTTTGTGTAGAGGTGGTGCCATCATTGTGCGTTTATTGGTTCCCTTCTTTGGGGCATTGTGGTCGCAAGGCGTCCCGATGGGGGTCGGGAGGACACGATATCACGATATTTCGATATCACGATATCGGGGGATATCGTGTCAGGGGACACGATATCCCGATATCTCGATATTTCGATATCGGGGGGTACCGAGCCAGGGGGCACGATATCACGATATCTCGATATCTCGACCTCGGGAGATATCGAGCCAGGGGACTCGATATCACGATATCTCGATATCGGGGGGTGGGTCGGGGCGGGGCTCGATGCACGGTGCCCCGCCCCCCCCATGCCCCGATATCGAGATATCCAGGCATCGAGATGTTGAGATATCGAGTCCCCGTCATGGTTGTGTGGACTTCAGCGGCGATTTTTTCTGGCCGTAAGCATGTTTGCCGTAAGCATGCTTACGGCCGGAAAACATAACGTTGCCCTCTTTATCATCCCCTCCCGCCCCCCCTCTTCCTCCCCAATCTCCAACTCCTCCTTCTCCGGAACCTCCCTTCCTCCTTGGTTCCCTTTTCCCCCGGTATCGAGATATCGAGGTATCGGGATGTTGAGATATCGAGTCCCCATCATGTTTGTATGTGAACTTCAGCGTTTTTCTTTCCGGCCGTAAGCATGCTTACGGCCAGAAAAATATTACGCTGTCGACTTGATCAGCCCCTCCCCCTCCCCCACCTCCCCCCGACTCCAACTCCTCCGGAGCCTCCTCCAGAGCCTCCCCTCCTCCTTGCCTCCATTTTGCTTGGGCTCCTCCATGCCTTCCTCTTGTTCCCGATGCTTTGAAGGATATCGAGGACCCAGTGGCCCCACCTACATGGACGTCTGCTTGGAGGAGGAGGAGGAGGAATAGGAATAGGAATAGGAATGAGGGGCAAGAAGAGGAGGAGAAGGAGGAACATGAGGAGGAGGACGACGACGAGGGCGAGAGCGAGGATGAAGACGAGGGCGACGAGGACGAGGAGGAGGAGGACGAGGACGAGGACGACAGAGAGGAGGCCCATGACAAGCATGGCCAACGTGGGGGCTCGGCGGATCGCTGCGGGGTCCTCAACGGCTTCGTCAAGGACTGGGGGGCTCTGAGCAAGGGGACGGGGCAAAGCCAAGGAGGATCAGGAGGAGGAGGAGGGAGAGGAGCAGCAGGAGCAGGAGGAGAGGCACAAACATGAGTAACTGTACCCATTTATCTACCGAGCTCGCTGACGAACAATGCAAATACCGAGCCGAATATATATGCACCGTGTGATCGTTGACCACACCCGCCACTCTGCCTGGGTCAAGGACAGGAGGCCTACTTGGGAGACTTCTTAGGCGTATGTTGGGAGACCATTCGTGGTCCTCCGAGAGGCATTTTTGGTCCTGCTGGTGGGGGAATCTTGGGGGCGTTCAGCCGTCTTGGAGCGTTCAATACACGCTACATTGCCACGCATCTCTTTGCGTTGCGCATGCGTTAGAGAATGAATGCGCGCACATAGTCATTGATTGAGCTACGTACCATGGTGAGTGCTCGTGTCCATTGATGCACGCGTACAGCACACACGTCGATATCTACAAACCGTCCGTGCACGGAGACAGTCGTGTATACGTACATGTGGTTCGGTTACAAACGAGTGCCCTAGTTCATATCATAATTTCACTGTTCATTGGCTCAAATCGACGTCGGCGCTTGTCCCGACTAGGTCTGCCCTAAACTCGAGAAGCGCGGTTCTCGCTTGCCCCCTGGCCATCAAGCTACGAATGAGTGGCGCACGCACACGCGGATGCTCATGCATGCGCTCCGATTGTATGTGATATGTCCACATCGTATAAGTACATACGCATGCCTACGTGCGCATAGATGGTTTGTTTGTGTAAGACCGTCTTTTGTTCTATCCTCCTTTCGCTGCTCGTTGGCTCAAGTCGCCGTTGGTGCTTGTTCCGATTAGGTGTGTCCTGATCTCCGCGGGCGCGATTCTCGCCTGGAGCCCGCCTTGTCGCCTGCGTGGAACCTCTGCGCAGCCGGTCGCCTACCCCGCGTCGCCCGAAGCACCGGGGACGGCGGCATCCGCTGATGGCTCTTTCCCGACTGCCTCCATGGGCCCGAAGCCTTCTCCAAGCTTGCCAGCGCGAGCTGCCGGCGCTGCGAGCTCTGCGGGAGACCATTCTCCACTTGCCGAATTGCGCGGGCAATCTCATCCAGGAGCTCAAGGCGGAGGCCCGCCAAGTCTGGGGGCGCGGCCAGGGACCGCCCCGCTCTGAGCCGTTCTGGCCCCGCGCCGCGAGCACCTCACACAGCGGCGGGGCGACAACCCGCCGGGCGCCGCGATGGAAGTGCTCGAAGGCATGTGCCGACAAGGGGACGATGATATGAGAGGGCGATCGGCGAGGCGGTCAGTAAGGAGCTCAAAGGGGGCCCGGTGACACAGGATCTCGCAGCGCTGCCGCTGACCCTCGCGGCGCCCTCGGCCGTCGCGAGCAGGGGCCGATGCCGAAGCGCGGGCCGCGGGACCGGACCTCTGAGGCAGCGGCGGCCCCGAGGCTTGCCGCGGTTCCACGCGCGCCAGATTCAGGAGGGAAAGAAACACACAGACACAATTAATCGTCGAGTCCCAGGAAAATATGGGAAAATATGGGAAGTGGGGGGAAGACAAAAACCCAGAAAATATAAGAAAATATGGGGACTATTTTTTTTTGTGTGTATTAATTTGTGTGTCCCAGGGCCCCTTCACAGATGTGGCCCGCGCAGCCGCTGCTCCAGAGCCAAGGCCGAGACGGTTGCGAGGCGTCGGAGGCCCCGAGGCGGTCGCGCCGCCAAGGCGCGCAGCCGCCCCCCTCGCGCAGGGAAGCTCCCGCGGACCCGCCGCTCCGAAGGCCGCCGTCGCTCCAGCAGAGCTCCCTATGCCTCCTCCGCAGCGAGTCGCCTGCAACCCCCGAAGTGGAGCCTGTGGCGAGTCCCTGTGGGCGCGCCGACCAGGCGCGTCTGAGCCTTGCTCAGACCCGCCTCTTCCACTTCGACCCTTTTGGCGAT